ACAAAGATGCCCAATGTTGAAATTGGCCGTCTGAAATTTAACTCTGTCTTTCTGTGCTGTGGTTGCTAGTATGAAAGTGCATGCTTATACATTAAAACTGAAAATTTTGCATCCTACAGAGCAGAGAATGGAACAGATTTAGAATCAATTTAGTATTTCTCTTGCAATCCATTTGGAGGAGTTCCCACTGAGAACGCATATGCTTCACCCTCTGCACAGCCATGTCTGATAAGACCTGAGAGGAAAAATAAGTAGTAACACTGAGTAGCCTGTTTTGAGTCTTGCATATGCTACTTGGAAATTAAAGCACACTTATGGCAAGCTGGGAGCACACAGGCTATGGCCCATTGAAACTGCTGGACTGATCAATATTTAAGAATGCACGGGCAACAGCAATAAATAAATGAGGAAAATGGGAGTGCAAATCAATGATCAGGTGTGTATACCCTCAAAATAAGGAGACGTCCCTTTGTATAGGAAAAAATACAGTGTGGTGCTGCACACTCCAATAGCTCATCATGCAGACCCATTGATGGAGTTCGGATGTGTTGTTCCCTCCAAAACTCATGTGGCAGTGTTGGAAACTGATGGAGTCATGGGGGCGTATCCCTCATGAATGGATTAATGCTCTCCCTGGGGGAGGAAGGATTAATGAGTGAGTTCTTGCTGTATTTGTTCCTGCAACAGCTCGTTGCTTGAAAAGACCCTGGCACCTCCTCTCTCTCTCTCTCTTGCTTCCTGTCTCCATGTGATCTGCTTGTACCTGCCAGCTGCCTGCCACTTTCCACCATGAGTAGAAGCAGCCTGAGGCCCGTGCCAGATGCAGCTGTCCCAGAATCATAAGCCAAATAAACCCCTTTCCTTCATAAATTACCCAGTCTCAGGTAATTCTGTTATAGCAACACAAAACAGACTAAAACAGAAAATTGGTACCAGAAGTGGGGTGTTGCTATGCAGATACTTGAAAATGTGGATGCAACTTTGGAACTGGATAATGGGCAAAGGTTGGAGGAGTTTGGAGGACTTAGAAGAAGAGAAAAAGAGGAGGGAAAGTTTGGAATGTCTTACAGACTTATGTAGTGGTGAGCAGAATTCTGATTGAAATGTAGACAGTAAAGGCCATGCAGATGATGAGGTCTCAGAGAGAAATGAGGAACTTATTGGGAATTGGACAAAAGATAACCCTTGCTACACCATAGCAAGGAACCTGGCTACATTGGGTCCATGCCCTTGGACTTTGTGGAAGTTGGAACTTAAGAGCTGTGAACCAGAGCATGTGGCCAAAGAAATTTCTAAGCAGCAAAGCATTAAGAACACTGCATGGCTACTTCTGACAGCCTACTCTGAGTTATGGCAGCAAAGGTATGACATAAAACCAGAATTTAAAATGGAAGCAGAGCATAAAGATTTGGAAAATTTGCAGCCTGGCCATGAGGTAAAGAAGTGGAGAGCAGGAGAAAAATGCAAGGGTGAAGCAGATAAACTGTTTCCTTAAGACATTGTCTTGGTGGTGAGGCTGCCAGATGCTAAGAACCAGAACAATGGGAAAAATGCCCTAAAGGCATTTGAGAAATCTGGAAGGGTGCCCCAACCATCACAGGCCCTGAGGCCTAGAAGGACTGAGTTATCCTGGAGGACATACCTGGGGCACAGCTGCCCTCAGGATCCTGCTCCCTGCATCCCAGCTGCTCCAGCTGGAGTGGCTCCAAGTGTGGTTTGTGCAACAGCCCTGGAGAGTAGAGGCCTGAAACCTCGGTGGTGTCCATGTTGTGTTAAGTCTACAGGCCAGCAGGAAATGTGAGCAGTGGAGGCGTGGCAGCCTCCACCCAGATTCCAGAGGGTGTATGGAAAAGCCTGGGGGCCCAGGCAGAGACCTGCTGCAGGGGCAGAGACCTGCTGCAGGGGCAGAGCCACTGCAGAGGCCATCTATTAGAGCAATGCCGAGCAGGAAAGTGGGGTTTGAGCCCTCAAGGAGAGCCCCCACTAGGGAAATGTCAAGTAGAGCCAAGGCAGTGGGACTACCATGGAGACCCCAGACTTTTGGAGCTACCAGAGTGGAACACCACCCTGGAAAAGTTGCAGGCACCAGTGCAGCCCACTGGGCTGCACCTGGCAGAGCTGTGAAAATGAGGCTGCCTAATGCTTTGGGGACCCAGATGCCCAATTGTGCCCAGAATGCAGGACTTGGAGTCAAAGAACATTATTTTGGGGCTT